ATGAGCTTCAGAATCAATTTATCAAATTTACTTAAAAAAGGAAGAAATAAGCAAACAAAAGCCCTACAACCCCTCTATCACATCAAAAATATGTTCCGCTTGAAAAATATCATACTATTAGAGAAAATGAGCATTATTGGACAATTGGTGTCTCCTGACTCCGAGGAAGTATGCTTTTAAAATAGCAAGCTTCCCATGAAGCAGTGGCTAACTGTCATTAGCGGGGCATTGATAAATGGCTTGGTGTTTGCAGTTCGTATTTCGACTTCAACTCTATTTGTTGCATTAGCAAAATGAGGCTCATTAAGCCTTATTCTCCCAGCCCGTCTCCGGCTCCGCAAGCCTCTGGGCGCACTGGTCCTCACTGCCTTGTCTGGAAGGGTGCAGCCTTCCCTGCATTACCCTGGAAAGCTCCCCTCATTCCCGCACCTCCCGTCCGAGGCGCGAACTTGTTGCTCGGGGAGAGGCCGCATCTGTGCGCGGAGCCGGCGTGCCATCTGTTCAAGTGGCCGGAGTTCATCTTATCGCCTCCTTTGTGGAAGGGCTCGTACTGTAAAAGTGCGTGTTATTGAAAACATCATTTTCCTCATCAGTATGCTTTCTTTCTAGCCAGATCGTAACCTGCCAGAAATCTACTGAGCGTGGAGTGAAAAGCTTTTCAGAAGAGCTGTTCTTAAGAGATTAAATGATTGCCATCTCTGTCCCATTCCTTTTATCTCATAATCAAGTTCAAGATGGCACTAGACGTCTCCGCCGAAGTGATTATGTATTTGAAATAGAAATGGCTTTATCTCCATTCATATTCCACACTGTCGAAGGTAGGATCAGCCCCTCTCCCCACTGCATTTACATTTATATATGTTTATGGCTCTTTACAACTGTCCACAATATTAAAGGATCTAAGTACTTCTCAAAGGCTACCAATGGCTAGCAGGACTTGGATTGCTTTGTAAATTTTTCTGTGCACAAAGCCACTAGTTTGTATAATAACATCCAGCTTAGATCCATCAGAATGTAGAGCCGCATAGAATCTTAGTAATTGTGGCCCAGTCTTTCCACTTGACAAGTGAGGAGCCCGTGACTCACAGCAGCTGAGACACTGGCCCAGGGTCGCAGCCTCTCTGAGACAGCAGCTCACGGCCGGCCAGCAGTTCCTGGTGGACCACACTGCCTTCCTGCCGCATTCAGGGTATTCCTATTACACAGATACGGCCTGGGGGCAGAGTGGGAGATCCAGGCACCCAAAAAGGACAGGAACTAGACTTTTTATGACGAGTTCAAAGATGTCCACTCTGGCTTTTGTTCTTTATCTTTAAAGCTGTCTGATCTGTGCTGTTTTCTTACATCCCAATTTCTCTTCCAGAGAATCAAACCAAGAAAAGAGATCCCGTCACTATTTATTAGCGGCTCTGCTGAAACACTTGATAGAGAAGGGCCCTGAAACCATTTGCCGGAAATGAGACTTTGGGCCCCGTGTTGATTGCATTTATCCACATGCCCGCAAGTAGTCAATCGTCAGGCGCACTGAAATTACAGTCCTTCCTCCTTTTAAAATATTTCTAGCTTTCAATAAGACTCCTCATTTTTAAAACCGAGTAAATAGGAAAAAGTGAGTCATTATTTATGGTTAATCACTTTTGCCAGCTGTGACTGTATTTCACATCCATTTTTTTCCCTTTTCTTGGACTAGAGAATCTATCTTGTCACTCTTTAGGGAAAACACCATATTGGTCCCATCAATAGCCTCTTTTAGCACATAATCACAGTTAAGGCACTGTGAACAGAGATTTTTTTTGGATACAGGAAGAAAATTACTTCCTTAGAATGCAGAACTACAGAGACTTAATCCAGAATCATGCAATAACACCTAAAGAGAAATAGGACTTATTTTAGAGTTCCTTTCAAAATGGAATCATCATTTCAAAAATGTTATATGTATTGCTGTATGTCTACCAAGTTCCAAATACTGCAAGGTTAATAAGAGATTTCAGATGGGATACCTGGTATATCAGGACACTGATACTTGCAAGGAGCAGGAAACCCATCTCAGGCAGCCTTACAACCCAGGCAACTCCACCTTCAGGCATGGTTCGATTAGGCTCTAGCTCTCTGCTGTTCTTCTGACTCTTCCCCTCACTGTGTAACTCTATTCTCAGGCTGATAATTGACACTTAAAAATGTGCATAAATTTTTGGACCAATGCACCATTGGATCTTAGAGCTGTTGGGGAGATTGCACCCTTACAGTAGGAAAAGGACTGTTGTAATACCAAGCCTCACTTCTGCATCCCAGCTGTCCAATGAAAGAGCTTCTTTCTCAACTCCAAACAAAATTCCTAGGCTTCATTATGGTTGGCCCAACTCTTTACCAATTAGTAGTGCCAGGGGAGGAAGCTATGTACTGATGCTATGTACTTAAGCCAAGGAGGGTGAGATTATGATGATTGGCTTAGGCCAGTCAAATCCCACTTCTGGAGCTTGGGGTGGGGATCCAGCCACACCAGGCACACAGCAGCTGCAGAACACAGGGGGGTGGGGGGGTGGATGCTGGGGAAGGAACCGACAATGTCCACTGCGTCTTGCATCTAGTAGGCTGAGCCAGGTCCTAATGAGGCCGAAGTTTGCCTGGTTTCTGTCAGTCTTTGTTCTTGGTCTGGTTGTTCTTTTGTCCTTCATAGCTCATCCTAAATAGCCAAGTCCACCACCTGCTCACGGCCAGTCTGTGGCTGTACCTGTGCATCCAAAAGACAGAAGAACTCTCTTATATTCAGCAATATAATGTCCTCACGCTGAAGGAACACTTGAAGTCTAATAACACTATGTATTGTTAACAGACTAAATATTATTAAATAAGACATGAATATTAGACAGAGAAGAGAACACTGCTGCTATCTTTTTCCAGTTAACTCTGATATTAAAATTGCCTGGAACTTCAAACATCAGAGCTCTTCTTAAACGCAATGTTTAATTTGCTCCTAAAATCATTTTCCAAATAGAAGAACACTCTGGATCAGAGAATAGATCATTTCAAGTAGTGAGATCCCTTTCACCTGAGTGAGAATCTGAGCATGTGACAAGCTATGGCTGATGGCAGTTTAAAATGCCCCATGAGAATGTCATCTCTCAGATGAACTCTCTGCTGTGTCTTAGCCTGGGTTCCCCCTGGAAAGCAGAGCATTAGGTGAGGGCTCGCAAGCAGGAGTGGAAGGGAGGGTGAGGGACGCCAACTCAAGGGCCTGGTACCCGGTTTGGTGTTCTGTGAGCCACTGGAGCTCAATCTCAATCTCACCAGAGCCACGAGCTGCTAGAACAACCTCCGAGTTGTCTGCCTGAGTGAGGGCCAGAGCGTTAATCCATTGGCGCCTGTTCCCTCCTTGGTCAAGGGTTGCCTATGGGACTAAGTCCTTCTTTTTCCATACTTCCAGATCTTTCTGATCTGTGTGAGGGCCACACCTGGGTATTAGAGCAGCCCCAGGCCAACAGCAAGAGGCCCAGAGGCCCTTGGTGCAGGGTGAGAGAGGGGCTCCAGCAGTGGCTGGAGTCCGTGAGAGGTGGGGCACCAAAGGAGTCCAACACACTCTGAACCTAGGGGCCCAGAAAAGACCAGAAATCATCTCCACATCTCCTTTGTCTTTCCTGCATGTCTCAGTAGCCTAACACATGTCTTTAAAAAGGTAAAATTAATAAACTGAAGTGAGTAGAGCCTGCAGAACTCTCATCAGCAAAGAGGCAAGGACGGGGTGGGAGGCACCAGCGGGTTGCTCCCGAGGAGGCTGCTCTCTGGAGAAGCCGTCATCATCGCGTCTTCAGCTGGCGAGTCCTCTCTTCCCCAGCAGGGGCTCCCCACTTAGAGGGTGATTTTTACCCTCCCTGTTCAGTCAGCACGACAGCTTTGTCCCTAATGTAATGGCAGTTTTGACTTGAGTTTAAACTATTCTGCAAAGAATCAAAGAGAAGGAGCTTCTCTCTCCCTTTTCCCCACCCCGCAAATTCCACTAAGGAAACTTTTCTCACTGAAATCTTTGTATCCACATTAAGTTTCTCATTTGTGCTTCAGGTGAATCAATACGGCGTCAACTTTCAAAGCCCTGTGTGACTGTCACAGTGACTCACAGTAATTGCTGTCTGTCAGTGTCTTTGCTGGGAACATAGATACATGCGCCCGTCATTGGCTCTGTTGCTGCCACCAGGAGCTGGCCCCCCAGTGGGGTCTTCTCTGGGCTCCATTCAAAACCTTAGTGGTGGTGGGCAGTTATCTGCATAATCCATCCCAGGAACACATAAGCCGCAGCTGCCCCTGAAATCATTTGTTAAAAAAACAATCTTTAAAGCAGTTATTATAGTAAGTGCACATGTAGCTGGATGTTCCAAAGAATTGTCTCCAACTTTGGTTCCTGTAGCTCAGTGGCTTTCTTTCCTATTTTTTTCTTTTTTTTCCTTTCTTGACTTAGAGAGAGAGAAACATCGAATTGTTGTTCCTCTTATTTATGCATCATTGGCTGATTCTTGTATGTGCCCTGATTGGGAATCAAACCTACAACCTTGGGGTATTGGGGTGATGCTGTGACCAACTGAGCTACCCGGCCAGGGCCTAGCTCAGTGGTTTTCAACCAGGGATGATTTTTGTCCCCCAGGGGACACTTGGCAATGTTTAGAGGCAATTCTGGCTGTCACAACTGGAGAGGGGGGAGGGTACTACCAGCACCTAGTGGGTAGAAACCAGGGACACAGCTGCACGTCCTCCAGTGTACAGGACAGCCCCTCAAGGAGGAGTTATCTAGCCCCAAACAGCTGAGGTTGCAAAACCCTGCTCTGGCTATTGAGGATTCATACTTGAGAAATAAGGTCACTTGTTTAGAAAATTCAGAATAAAAAGAAAAAAAGTATTCCTTTAGTTGAAAAAGATATCAGTGTTAAAGAATATTTTAAGACATTACTCATGAGACAAAGTTTCTGTTGAGAGTGTAACCTTCAACTTTTACCCAAATAAATATAGATGTTATAAGACTACAATTATATGTACTAGTTTGTGTTCTGTTTCCACTGAAAAATGTCACTTTTATAGTCTTTATATCATTTGTATAGAGAATATTTCATTGTTTCACTGTAATGAAATCCAACCATTTCCTCTCTTTTCTTTTCTTTTCTTTTTAAGTAACTTGAGCAAAAGCGACTATTCCAGTGTGAAACCTGGCTCTGGAGAGTTGGCCATGGGGTACTCTCTCATCTTATTTTACAGCAAAAAGTATTTTCCAAGGAATAACTACTTTCAGAACATTACAAGAGATTGTTACGATGTAAATATTTTTTAAAATGTATCTTTATTGTTGAAAGTATTACAGAATCCCCCCCCC